TCTCCTCTCTCTCTCTCTCTCTCTCTCTCTCTCTCTCTCTCTCTCTCGATGTTCCTTCCAGCCAATTTCTACGAAAAATGAAACGAGACGATGCGAAAAGTTCTCTCGAACGACTCGCGATTAATTTCAACAGATCCCGTTGGCGATCTGTTTTTCCACGTGTTTCCAATCTCACGTTGTCCATTGCTAATGGGATTATTAACGAGGTAAGTTTGAGGAGGAAATTGTTCGTTCCTCCCTTTCCGTCGATTAATAATCGAGTATCCGGTGAGGGGACACCGAATATTTCGAATATTTAGGGACGAGTCATTTTTACGATAGCCACGGTAACAGGAGACGGGAAAGGGGGTGGTAAACTACCAGCTGGCAAGCCGATCTCCAGCTTCTCGTATTTCCTCGTCCAATTACCTCCCGTCGTTCCTCCGTGGAGGGAAGGAGCTACGAAGAAGAAATGTCCCGGGAAGAGGAAGAATCCGGCCGAGCGCCGATCCATTACCGATGTTCCATTCTTTCCATTCACTTCGCCCTTCCTCCCCTTTGTCCCGTGTTTGGACCGAACGATTGTCCTCGAGGACAAGGAATCGCGAGGAAATAAACGACTGTCGATAAACTTTTTAACGAATCCCTTTTGACGAGCAACACTCGCGCAATGCTCGAGTGCTTGCCGCACCAATTCCCGCCAATTTCTCCTTTTCTCTCGAGCATCCTCTCTCTCTTCCAACGCTCTTCAGACGTTTCATCGTTATTCTACGAAACATCGAACGTTTTTTCGTCGGAGAAGAAAGATTAATCGATCTCGAAACGCGATTACTTCTATCCTTATCGAACGTAATGCACGATCGATTCCGACGAGGTTATACATCGAGAACGATTTCTCATTTATCCGACGAGGACAGGAATTATTCTCGTGGACGGTGGCCACATTTGTAGGGGAGTAGGGCATGGCAGTCATTTTTCTTCGGGTCCGTCTCTGTTTCATTCATTCGCTTTCATCCTCTCCACGTCCACCCTTTCCCTTTTCTCTCGAGATAAACGAGCCGGATCGACGAGCGTGAATATCACGAGCGGGCCACGCGAACGAGATTCCTTTCTGCCTGTGAAATTATCTCCTGTCCAAAAGGAGGGGGAGGGAAGGGAAAGGTTTCGAGGGAGGCGAGAAAAGGGGTTGCGCGCCTTCCTCTCCTTTTCGTCGAGGGTGGCAGACCATCGGTGACGCGTCATTAGCGACAACCTTTGTTTCGAGCAAAAGTTTATTCGTTCCGTTTACCTGTAACGTAAACCTGAAAATCTGCTTTCGGGAAAGCGTCCCTCGTCGAAAGCGACGATGGAAGCGATTAAGGAAGGGCCCTTTCACCACCATCATTTATTATTCCCCGAAGAAGAAAATCCTGATAATGACTAATCCTTTATTAGCCTTCCTATAATATCTCAACGATAATATCCTCTCCTCGCTCGATGGAGCGTTTCTCCCTTCCCTTACGACTCGCGAGAGATTAAAGATCCTCCTTCCTCGGATGTCCATTTTATTACGCATAAATATTTAAAGCAAGCCTCTGCCCCCGAGAGTATTATTACACTCGAAACACTCGGGTGGATGGTATCGATTCGAAGATTCTTCCTCTCCCCTCTCCCCTTCTCGGCCGGTCGCGTTTCCAGCTTTTTCCACCCGGTTATTTGCTCCAAGGGAAAATTGTTCGCCGTTCCATGTACATCCTTTGAGATGGAAAAACAGCGGACGGCGGAAGAGTTTCGTGCCCACTTTATGAACCTGTTGTTAGGTGGGCAAATCTCGCTGACAAAGGATCCTTTGTGCAACGGATACCTCTCTCTCTCTCTCTCTCTCTCCGGCTATAATGCTAAATCGTCTTTCCTTCCGTTCCTTCCATTGCTCGTTCGCGGTCTCGTGATCGCTATCCTCATCATCGATACATTCGGCCCCGTTTTTTTTTTTTTTTTTTAATTAAGAACGAAAGGAATTAAGGAAACGAAAGAGACACGAGATTATACACGTACATTTACGCACAAGTTTCACACGCGATATACCGATATCGAACAAGCGATCCTCTCTTTTTCTCGTTCATCGCCGATTCTTCCGCCCGAACAGCGTCTTTGAAGTCTATTTAGAAGCGCTCTTTCGGGTTAAATGATAAAGCTCGAAAGTCGAGCTTTCATTTGACACGGTTTGCGAGAGGGGAGGGGGAGAGAGAGAGCACGCTCTCTCTCCTCCGTTCAATTGTTCGACGACTCGAGCACCGTTGCGTTTAATCCGCTCCTCTTCGCTACGGTTTACACAAAGAATTTTTCTTCACGGATGGAGGGGGAGGTTGCCGGAAACGAAGGAGAGTTTTAGTTTCGCGTTTCGTTCTTGTTTCGTCTTCGCTTTTTTCCGCCTTTTCCGACCAAACCTCGTTTAATCCGCCCGCCTTCCTTCTCCTTCCTCTCAACTTCCCTTCTCTTCTCTTCTCTTCTTCCTCTCCCCCGGGTTTCTACATCATCTTCGAATTAATTGGATTTTCCTTTTCCCGTCGTTGCGCCGGACCCGGGCCAACAACCTGCTCGATTAAATCGCTCGGAAAAATGAGCTAATTCGAGGATCGGGCGAGGCGGATGGATTCAACGCCCACTATTTTTACAGGGAGATCCCCCCCCCCCTCCCCTGGTCGAGGGTAAATATTGTTCAAGGAGACCGACCCTGCTTTCTTCCAATTCGGGGGAATCGTTCGAGAAATATTAACGTTTAAAATATACGCGTTGGATTAGCGTCAGATCGGCTCTGTTTCCATTATAAATCCTGTTTATTCGAGCGAGCGGAATCTTCGGTTTCCGTCGCTTGTTAAATCGCGGACACGGAACTGGGCGAGGAGGATTCACATTTGGACGCGACGTTTCATGTATCGCGTTGATAGAGTATCGCCAACGTCTTTCTCCAACGTTTCGCTTGTCGTTTCTCTCTTCGACCGGAGTTGATTTCTATCGAAATGAAGCAGGCGGATCGTCCGCCCGATCGTATATATCGAATCTCGTCCTCGCTCGCGCGGAAGAAAAATATGGAACGGGGGAAAGGAAGAGGAAAAATCGAAGGCGAAGGATAACAGAAACGAGTAACAGCAGCGGCAACAATGTGCCGTCTAATTCCTAAGGAATCAGAGAGTTCTTTAAAAGAGTTTCTAACAAAACCTTGTGAAACAATCAATATTTCCCGAAATACCTAATGGATTTAAATCCATTCTATAATATATACAAAATTGAATCGTGTAATTCGTATCCTAATAATAATAATAATAATAATAATAATAATGAAAATAAATCTCCGTATCCGTACTCATCCTTCCCCACCACACGGTTTATTCGGAATCCATCCACCAATCACGCTATCTCTTTTCCCCGCACGATAGTTAATCGAAATCGTCCGATCGATCGGACGGATATACACGGATATAATAAGCCGTTGTCAATTACCGTGTATCAATTTATATACACACGGCGCAGTTTTACTCCACGATGATTGACAGTTGCCCCGTCCGATTCGGAGTGGAGAATCGGGGAGGGGAGGGGAGAGCGGCGGCTATGAGTCACGTCAAATCCGGTCGGAACGGAATTGCAAAAGGAAAAAAACGTACGCGCGGCTTTCCTTCCTTCCCTCCCCTTCCCCTCCCCCCCGCCCCTCAGGCGAAAGTCTCGGCCCCGCAAAACGATTTCGCGTCACGAGCAGAAATTTTTTTCCCCCGTTCCAACCTAAGTTCCGTGCACGAGTTCCGTGACAAGCGGAATTTCTCCCCTTCTCTCTTCTCTCCCCGGCTATTGTTTTTATCCCGCGATACGTTTTCACGCGACGCGACGAGCACGGCACAGCTAACCTGAGCGCGACAGGTAGGTTAGGCAGCTGTTTTATCGGCCGGCAACACACTCGGCAACTCGGGTTTCGACGAAGATCTCGCGCGATACTACATCATGTAGCGAGGATCGCGTGCTAGTTTTTTCGAAAGAGGGATCCGTAATATATTTACGTCGAGTGACACGATTTTTCGAAATAGAGGGACGTGCTTACCAGAGTCGAAGGTCACCTCGCTGATCATGATCCATCTGTCCGAGAAATGAAGCCTCAGCTTCACGTATTTGCCGACACGGTGGTGGAGCTTGATGGTGATGTTTCGCGACGATTCGAAGATCTTGTCCTCCATGTAGGTGTAGGTGATCGGCTCCCCTGTGTAATACTTGCCCCCGATGCTGAACAGTATGTCGATTTGGGAAAATATCTGGACAGAACGAGAATTTTTCTCGTTAGTAGAAAATAGTGGTATAATCTAATTTATATACTATATATATAGATAAGGGATAAAAACGTATAAGGATTTATCGAGGATGTTCGATTCGACGAAAGAGAGAAGAATATTCTTCAGATTTTTTTTGGTTTTTATCCAACGCCGAAAGCGTGGGATAAGCCTTCTTCCCTTCCAAGGGAGAAGGGAATATAGTTTTGGAAAGGATAGGATCCTGAGATATCGGAGACACGCAACCTTGGTACGAATTCGAGAGGCGTCCTCGTGATTTACGACTCGGCAAAAAAATAAACGGTGGAAAATATACATTCGAGTTAATGGTGGACGAAAGATATACGATATATATATATATATAATAAAGAAGTAGCCTCGAGAAGTATTTGTACATGATGTATCCACCGTCGAATCACAGAAACGAAAATGGATCGAAGCTGTTCCAACCAAGTTATTTCTCTTCCTATTCCCAGGCCTAGTATAAGAGTTGGGAAATAAAATATCTGCATATTAGAAGGAGAAGCCGGGAATGAAACAAAGATCCATTTCTATCAGGGAGATTGATCACCTGGTGGCCTTAAAAAAAAAACGCCATTGGAAACCTAAATAAGCCGGCGAATATAGACGAAATAAAACAGACGTAGACGAAGCGGGACGTTGATGGATAGAGGAGCGAGAACCCGCTCTCGCCGAACAAGATTTAGGAACAAAGTAAAATACGATCGTACGGCGGCGCGAAAAGCGAGGGAGGAGGAGGAGGAGGAGGAGAGAAACATAGAAAGTCGTATGACTTTTGAGAAACGTTATAAAAGTTTAATACGTGTCTCAAGTTCGATAGAGTATATGATCTGATCATATAAATCATAAAGGGATATTATCCGAGAGATCGCAAAAAGCTTTGCTTAGCTTTACCTTTGTATCGGATCCGCGTGTACGTATCTTGCGTTACGCTCTTCGGTCTCTTTCTCTTTTCCCTTTCTCTCTCTCTCGCTTCTCGTATGAAAGCGCACTTCTCGTGAAAAGTGTCACGTGGAAGATGAAAATTGAAGCTATCGAAAGGAATAAAAAAAATTGCAGCCGCCATTGAATTTCACGTTGACAAAAATGTCAAGCAAAAAAAAAAAAAAAAAAAAAAAATAACGAGCGAAAGAGGACAAATTGAATTTTCGATGGAACGACTGGCTTGTCGACCGATAAAAATCCAAAGTGGATAATAATACGAATAGATTGTATTCGTGCGTGTGCGTGAGAGAGAGAGAGAGAGAGAGAGAGAAGCGGTAATTGGAGATTTGGTTAATTTCCAATTGAAAAATTTATGGAACAATACTCGGGTATATAACTCGGGGTTATGAAAAAATGTATGGCGAGGCGGTGAAAAATAGGTCAGGAGTTAAAAATTAATGTTTCGAGGGTTATGATATCGAGTGATTCGTGAGACGTTTATAACTCTTCGTTATGCTCTTTCTCGTGTTACGACGTACGATGACGTCGATCTTCTGTAGGTCTTAATTCTCTAACCTATTATCGTTTAATCTCAAGCCGCTTAATTCGTAATTTACACGAATGCGCGCGTCATCGCGACAATCCATGCATGTACGTACATCGCGCACGTGAAAGAACAGAAGCATAGAAATTAAGACGGAGCGCTGGAAGATTAAGACTCGACCCGAGCAGATCACTCGAGGAGGGTCAACGGAGGATTTTTTCTTTTTACAAAGATATAGATGATATATCAATTAAGGGACGAGTTTCTTGCAATCTTGCAATGCGAACACGATTCTAAAACGCGAGGCGTATCTCTCAGTTGCGACGCGAACGAGTGTCACCACTTAACTCATTAATTTACGGCCACCAACTGTACAAACATCTCGACCGACCACAGCCGTTCCCCACACCGCACGAGAATACGGCAAGCAGAAATATTCGTTTCCATCCGAAATCCGCGTTTACCTCGCGTCGCGCGGTAAAATTTTTCGTAAACGAAGGAAAACGAAAAACAAACTTGTGTCCAACTACGATGCGCGGGGAGGAAGAAAAAAAAGGAAATCTTTGAGATTTCGTCGAAAAATAGGGTAAACCGTTTCACGGACGGATCGATCGAGTTATCCGTGGGAAAGGAAAAGGCCACTAGCTTTCCGAGGCGGAAGTCGATAACGCGATTGTCACAACCCAACATCTGGAGCGGATCGGCTCCCGAAGATTTCGTTATCGTAATTCGCGTCATGTAAATCCAATTACCGAAAGATTCGTTTCAGGCTCTCTCGATGAGGACGAACGGAAGGAGGGAAGAGGGATGAAGAAGAGGAGAGGCGTTTATCGATATCGATGCTCCGTATCCGCCGGTTGATCGTCATAAAACTCGTCCTCCTCGTTGTCGTCAGCGACGTCCATCGACAACCAACGCCTCCGAGTGTATTTCGTAATCGAAACTCGGCGTGGAGAGACGAGCGTGGAAAAGGTGTAGGGCGCACAGACGAAGGAAGCCGAGAGCGGCTTATCCGATATAATATACCGGATGAAGCGCAATAACTGATCTGGAAGTAAATCTCTCTTTTTTTTCTTTTCTTCTTCTTCTTCTTCTTCTTTTTTAACGTTGGTACGGTTCAACGGAGGGAAATGGAGAAGGTTGGCCGAACGAAACGAAGCTCTTTTTTCCCTCCTCCTGGACGGAAATGGTTTCCGTCGAAACACGGCGTGTATCTCTCGCGCAAACACAGGGATCGAGATTCGCGCTCAAAGAGCAACATTATTTCGTTCCATCGGTCCACAACGGTGCGCGTATGAACGTTATCGAAACCGTTTCATCGTAACCATCTTTTTCTTCTACGTGTATATATGTATATACGTTTTATTTCAATCGCCGTCTGGTATCGGATTCCGCAACGATTCGTCCATTCTTTCGCGGTTTTTCCCCATTTACTCGTCGGTTACTCTCTCTACGTATGTGTGTGTGTGTGTGTGTGTGTGTGTGCGTGTAACTCGATCTTCGCGGCGATAATCAAAATGTTCGAGAAACCCCTCGTTTTGGAGGTTATTCCGATACGTCGATACGATTTTTACTTTCGGAAATTGTTAATGGTCCGCAATCGAGAGGCGAGTTCTCGGTTGGATCGATGCGATCGAATTCGAACGCGGCGACAAATTATTTATTCACGACTCTTCGATTTCTTTGGAGTATCGCTTCGCGAATAAATTCCTCTTCACGCGTGGAAAACGATTACGATAATTGATACGTAAGATACTGGAAAATATAAAGATTTTATTAATTAAATCGTTTTAAGTTAAAATCGTCTCGACCAAGCAAAGGCGCTTTTTAATAGGCGCTTCGCGGACGAGTGATTCCTTCGATTTCGATTCGCGCCATTATTTTCGAAAACCACGAATCACAAGGTGTTTAAAAATTATTAGAGAGAAGAATAAAATTTTATCATTATAAAACGACTCGACAAATGATCAATCCTGTCCAACTGACGAATAATAAAATATTACTCGCGCACTTTTATACTTATACTCGCGTCACTTATACGCGAATAGTACACACGGTAATGGTAATAGTAGTAGTCCCATCCAACGAACGTTAATCATCCGTTTTAACGTTTTCGTCACACACGGTACTTTTTTAAAAAATCATGAAAGCCCGGAATTCGATTCGATCCCGCGGCGAAACAGCCCGACTTGGGTGAGCGCGCGCGCGCGCGTGGCTCATTTCGGCCATTAGCTTCGGTCGTCGCCTCTTATGCATTATGCGGGTTAGAGAGGGGACTGGCTTCCGTTCCGTGGGCCTTCCGTCAAAGGGAAGCCGGCCACGGGCGAAATTGAAATGGAGATCCAGCAGGAAAGAGCATTCGTAAACAAAATTGACACGAACCGAGAGGTGCATCCGAGGGAGGGGAGAGTTGTGCAATCACGCAAATTTATGCACTTTGACGGAGGGAACCGGTGAACGGTGGAAAAAGGAGGGCGTTGTCGCACGAAGCCAAGGGAAAGTATTTGCCTTCACCGTCAGACGACGAGATATCTTATCGCTTAGTCTCCTAGTTTTCGTTTCCCCTCCTCGCGAATAAGTAAGAAATTGACTCGTCTCGATCGTTACGTTTATTAAATTGCCGCGTCAAACATTCCCCTTCTCCTCCACCCTTCCAAATCACAAAGCGATCTATCCTCATCTCTCGCGCCCATCTTCGAAAATCGTCTATGCTTCTGTTGAGAAGATCAGAGACTTGTCTCGAACTTGGAACGAGATTTTCGAACGATCGCGGGATGAGACCGCGATTGAAAGTATTACGAAGCGATCTCGTGATTCTTCGGTCATCTTCGAAAATCAAAGAAGCGAAGATCTCGGTCAGGGACTTGTCTCGAACTTGGAACGAGACGATTGTGAGACGAGAAGGTGAGTGAAAGTACCGGTGGAAATACGGTGGCTTGAGAGTTGAAGATCAATTTGGGCTTGTAAGGGATTAGCGAGATCGACTTTGAGAGTCGAATGATTCCGGAAACTCGACCAAGACGTTCACAAACTGCGGTTATCCCAAACTGTGGCGAGAGTGCCGTGTGGTGGAGGAGGATGTGGACAGGTTGGTTTATCCATTCGCGGGATTACCCACGAGAGGTATCAAATTTATTTATATATTGAACCTCGATGATCTTCATCAGCTTTCGAGGCTCGACTTTTACGACTACTTTTATACACCGAATAAAAATTCTACTAGAATCTCGCGACATCTGTAAGCCACGAAACTATTTATATATATATAAATCTCGTTGCCCCAGATTCTATATCCTACATCCTCCTGTATCACAGCATTCAATTTCCTTCTAGTATCTGTACACCGATAGTAGATGAATCTCACTACGGATCCCCTAACCGTTCCAAACAAATAAGTAAAACTAAGATTTAAATAACAGAA